TCTCACCGTGTCATCCGTGACGCTAAACGCACTTGCTGGCGAGATTGTCTCCTCCTCCACCTCTGCTTCCCCTGAGTGCAGTCTGGAAAAAAGTACGAAAACTGAGTGGTAAATATTCTCCTGACCCGGCTCCTGTTCTGCGGGTTGCCGGTGTTGATATAGCAAACCCACTAGATGTTGCCAACGAAATTGGCAATCATCTGGTCCGTATTTCTCAGGGGCTCCATCTATGCCCCTCGTTTCCTTCCTCAAAGTCTGCCAGAGAGTTAGCACCCTTGGACTTTTCTTCTCTGAGAGAAGAACAGTATAATGTGCCTTTTTTACACTTCAGCAACTGGAGGCAACACACTCAGCTTGCCGATCATCGGCAGCTGGGCCTGACGACATTCATATTCGTATGCTACAACATTTATGTCAGTCAGCCCTTGCAGTCCTATTACGCCTTTTCAATCTTATTTGGTCACAAGGAGTTCTTCCACAGCTGTGGAAATCTGCCATTGTTCTCCCTTTCCGCTAACCGGGTACTACGGGACATGAAGCCTCCCACTATCGTCCCATTGCTCTTACCAGTGCAGTTTGCAAATGAAGGAACGCCTGGTAAATAGACGTTTAGTGCGGTATTTAGAGACACCACAGTCTCTCCACTCGTCAATATGGCTTTTGTAAGGGTCGTTATACCATAGACCCCTTACTATGCTTGGATGCGTATGTTCATAATGCCTTTGCGAATAACCACTTGGTTATTGCCATATTTTTTGACCTTGAGAAGGCATATGACACAACTTGGAGGTATAATATTTTGGCCCAAGCCCACTCCTTAGGCCTTCGAGGCAATCTACCATCCTTCCTTAAGAACTTTTTAACTGACAGACATTTCCATGTTCAGGTTAATAATGTGCTCTCCCCGGACTTTATCCAAGCTGAAGATGTCCCCCAGGGATGTGTTCTGAGCACAACACTTCTTCTCCTTGCTATAAATGATTTGGTCTCTAGTCTTCCATCCAATATTTGGTCATCACTCTCTTGATGACTTCGCTATTGCCTGTGCAGGCGCTGACTGTCACCTCATTACAGTTTCTCTCCAGCATGAGGTCGACCGTGTTTCCAATTGGGCCACCACACATGGGTTTAAATTTTCCAGTACCAAAACTCGCTAAATTACTTTCACTAGACGCTGTCATCTCCAATCATCCTTTATATCTATGGCCCCCGTTATCTGAACGTGATAGTCGTTTCTAGCCTTCCTTTGTCGTAGGTTATCACTGGAACCTCAATTACCTCTCTGAAGACAATTGTCACAGCCGCCTGAAATCATCTAAAACCCTTGCTCATCTTTCAATGGGGAGTGATCGTTCCACGTCTCCCTTTGCCTACATTCACCCTCATTTATCGATACTTGACTATGGTGACCAGATCTATTCCCGCTGCTTCTCCTGCTATCTATTAGCCCTCAAACACTATTCATCACCAAGGATTATGTTTATGCCTTGGTGCTTTTCGCTCTTCCCCTGTTGAGAGCCTCTATGCAGAAGCAAACGTTCCATCCTTATCTGATCGCCATGATACCCATTGCCTTCGCTACTATGTACGCTCTCATGATCTCTGCAATCCTTCCATTTATAGTATGGTCACCGACATTAGTAGACAATCTTTATTTGTTCGCCGCCCCTGTTTGCTCCGTCCCTTCTCTCTTCACCTACATTCGCTCTTGTGTTCTCTTCAATTTCCACATTTCTATGTTCATGTAGCATCTCACTTTTCCCTACCCCCCTGGAAGTTCCAGCTGTTCGAGTCTGTTCTTTCTCACTCCCTTGCTCGAAAGCTCAACTGTCTACGGTAGCTTCCTGCTCTCTTTTTCTTGACCACTTCCACTCTCATTCTCATGCCATTGCAGTGTACACAGATGGCTCTAAGTCTTCTGACGGCGTAGGATTCGCAGCAGTGTTTCCGGACAGCGTCGTTAGAGGGCATTTACTATCTTCGGCTAGTATCTTTACTGCTGAATTGTATGCCAGTCTTGCAGCACTTATCCGTATTGCATCTATGCCTGTGTCATCATTTGTGGTTGTCTCAGACTCCCTTAGTGCTTCACAGGCTATACAGAAATTTGATACACCTCACCCCGTAGTCCTCCGTATCCAACTTTGGCTATGCCGCATCTCTACCAAGCATAAAGATATTGTTTTTTGTTGGGTCCCTGGTCATGTTGACGTACAGGGCAATGAACAGGCAGACACTGCTGCGCGGTCAGCAGTACGTGACCTACCAGTTTCATATAGAGGTGTTCCATTTATGGACTATTTTGCTGCAATAGCTACCCACTTTCACACCCGTTGGCAACAACGTTGGTCTACCCTACTCGGTAACAAACTTCAGTCTATTAAACCGAGTATATGTAACTGGCCGTCTTCTTGTCACCAGTGCCGAGGTTGGGAGACTACTCTCTCCCATCTCCGCATTGGCCATACTCGTCTTACTCATGGATATCTCATGGAGAGGCGCCCTGCTCCTCTCTGTGAGAATTGTCAGGTTCCATTATCGGTCAGCCACATTGTTAGACTGCCCACTTTATCAACGAGCACGCAGAATTTACCTCCAACGTCGTCTTCGCTCCGCTGCTCTCTTTACCTTCCCTTCTCGCTGATGGACCCACCTTTCATCTGGACCCTGTCATTGACTTTTTGACAACTGACTGACTGACTTCACAAACTCTGATGATACGAAGGCAAGGTAGGGGTCAGCCTAGGAAGGGTTGGAGGGAGGGGGTAAAGGAGGTTTTTTGTGCGAGGGGCTTGGTTTTCAGCAAGCATGCGTGAGCGTATTTGATAGGAGTGAATGGAGACAAATGGGTTTTAATATTTTACAAGCTGTTGGAGTGTGAGCAAAGTAACATTTATGAAGGGATTCAGGGAAACCGGCAGGCCGGACTCGAGTCCTGGAGATGGGAAGTACAGTGTCTGCACTCTGAAGGAGGGGAGTTAATGTTGCAGTTTTATAATTGTAGTGTAAAGCACCCCTCTGGCAAGACAGTGATGGAGTGAATGATGAAAGTTTTTCTTTTTCGTGCCACCCTTCCTTGGTGGGACTCTGCCGATGTGTTTATAAATAAGAATACTGTAATTGTTAGTGATCAGCAATAACAGTTGGCCTTGCAGCTTATATTCTCTCCTGCTCTAATACAGTGAACAAAAATTTATACCCATATTTTTCCTTTCTGAACTGTTGGTGTTGGGTATGCAGCTGGTTTTCCTGAACAACTCAATAGAGGTCATTTAATAGAATTGGCTAGTATTTTCGCAGCAACCATGTCTGCCGCATCATTCATAGTTATTTTGGACTGCCAAAGAGCGTTACTGGCTATCCAGAAATTGAACTCCTATCATCCTTTGTATACACCTGTGGCTATGTTGCATTTCTAGCAAGCACAAGTTATATTGTGCTTGGTCCCTGGACATGTCTGTCTCCAGGGACCCACCTTCACACCCGTTGGCAACAACGTTGGTCTACTATGCTTGGCAACAAACTTCAATCTATTAAACCGAGTATAGGTTACTGGCCGTCTTCTTATCACCAGTGTCGAGGTTGGGAGACTACTCTCTCCCGTCTTCGCATTGGCCATACTCGTCTTACTCATGGATATCTCATGGAGAGGCGTCTTGCTCCTCTGTGAGAATTGCCAAGCTCCATTATCAGTCAGCCACATTCTGTTGGACTGCCCACTTTATCAACGAGCACGCAGAATTTACCTCTGTCGTCGTCTTCGCTCCGCTGCTCTCTCTTTACCTTCCCTTCTCGCTGATGGACCCACCTTTCATCCGGACTCTCTCATTGACTTTTTGACAACAACTGACTGACTTCACAAATTCTGATACCTTCAGCCCTTTCTACTTCAGTCTCTTGCTACCCTCTACCCCCATACTATCCCCTGCCCCGCTGTTTTCTGTAACCTGCTGATCATCCCCCCTCCCTTCTGCCATCCAATTCCCTTGCTTCCTTCCCTACCCTGCAGTGCTGTATAGCCCTTGTGGCTTAGCGCTTCTTTTTGATTATAATAATAATAATGTCTCCAGGGACCATTCCTTACTCAAACTAGTTTTCAGTGCTGTTACCACGTCTGCAACTACTATCAGCTATGTTGGTCTGCATTGAACCACAGGAAATTGTTTTCAATCTTGCCATGTTTAGGATTCTGGCCATGATCTTCCCTCTGTTGTCAGAATTGGGGAGACCACACTCTTGTGCTTATTGGACAAACTTGACTCTCATGGCTATCACATGGAGAAACAACCAGCACCACTCTGTGAGGGCTGTCAGTTTTCTCCAACACTCACCCTCTCACTCTGACCTTGCTGAAAGTCCCACCCTTATGCAGAATCTTTGACTTTTTAACTGAAACTAACCTATGGCACCAACTTTGATTTTAATCTTGCTTGTGCTAACTCCCACCCCTACTGACCCTATAACTTTGCAAACCCCATGCTTTTTACTCATTCTTAACTTTTGCACATTTCTACTTTCACACATCCCTCTCAGCAGTGCTGTTTTGCCCTTGCAGGTTTATCACTTAATTTTATTATAATACTATCTTCCTTTGGGGAGGGGAGGGTGGCATGGCATTAAGAGGCATGAAATTCCCCCGTTTTCTAATATGTTCATTTTTCCACTAATCTACCTTGTCCATAATTACTATCATGAAGCTCAGACCTCTGCAACACATTTATCCTCAAAGATTTAAGTTATACCATGAATTAAGGAAAAATCCTAGATTTCACCTTAGGAAACAGACAAAGCAGATGCAATAGTACTTATGGATAATGTAATTATAGTGGAAAAATGAATGTTATTAGAAGATGGGAGAACTTGTGTGCCCCTCAAGTTTTGCCCATAGGCTTGAGGTTTCGAAGACTCATTTTTGTTGTGGCGAGGTTGACTTTTGAGTTAAGTTTTCCTTAGCAAACCCTACTCATTTTTTATTTAAATGTTTTTATTTTCTTTTGCAGGCCTGCTCGACGTGGATCTCCAAGGTAATAATTTTCTTTAAAGCGTAATTACAATATTAATTTTGGAAGGTTCTGTAAAGCAGGAATGAAAGAGTATTCTGAAGTAAATGGTGTGCAAGAGAAATGGCAGCTGTTTTGGCATAGTTTAAATTTTTCTCGTGGATAGGAACGGACTCTTTGGTGAACAGTGGAGGTGTATGTGAGGAATAAATTCAGTTGTTCATAAATATTGAAAGTACAGTATCCTGTTCTTATTAGCATAAGAATTTAGCACAGGGTAATAAATGATTGCATTGGGGAGAACTGAGCTGAAACTATCATGTGCATTTTATGGTGGCAATAAGTATGAATGGTGCTCGTCATATATACAGTAGACACTTGTTAATTCATGGTGTTGAGTTCCTGAGCCTCCCACAGATTAAATTTAAACAGTTGTAAAGGAAAAAAAAAAAGATAGGTTTCTGGGACATATATCTCCCTCCCTCCCCCATTTCCTGATCCCTCTCTTCTCTTTCATACTTAACTACAACAAATGAGAATTAATGGTACTTTGAAATTGAAAGTGATATATCTGAACTTGAATATTGTTGGTTAATAAACCTTGGGTGTGATCAAGGGTCCATTATCATTTTTCAATAACAATAGGCCTTTGGTGTTAATCTTCAGGTATTTATATCTGGGGGGGGGGGGGTAAGTAACAACTTGAGGGAAAACTAGATGCTTCAAGGAGACATGATTGGAGGTTGCTCCCTTGGTTCAATCTTTCACTTAATTTCTTTAAGGCTTTTTTTTCTTCAGTTTGAAACCCTCTTAATGTGCTATTATAGCAGTCTTATTGCCAGCATTTGAGAAATGTTAATTCTCCACCTGCATATATTTTGTGTAATATTTGAAACACAGAAGAGGGTTACAAACCAAGACATGTATGTACACACCTTGGTAACCAAGTGGTGATACTGCAACTGTGACTGAAAAGTGTGTAAGTTTTGTGCTGGTACTAAAATGCTGTATATACTTTGTAAAAAAAAAATGTGAAATTAGGAATACTATGGTATAAATTGAATAAGGCAGTTCCTGAACTAAAAATACATTGAATTAACCAGTGTCTACTGTATGTGGTTTGACACACACATTTGTGTGAATTTTTTTTTCATTACTTGTAGAATTTTGATATTACATTATTTTAATATTTGTATTGTGTATTTAGTGTAGAATGGTGTATAGGCTAATCTGTACACGTTTAAATGGATATTCTCATATTTCATCGAGTTCTAAACCTGTGTTTTTCACTCAGTGGCATATCAGTTCTCTATCAGTCAGGCAGTTTGTGTTCCCTTAACTAAATGTACAGATAAATTTTTATTTTTTTTATTTTAAGTTTGAAGGTGTAGAATTCTTGTTGATATGCAGATTTGTACACCAAATTTATCTTGTAATGATTTATTTAAAAAACTACTTTCACTTTTTAAGTTTAAGGGACAACTAGTGAATATGCATGTTTAAATGCTGTACCTAACTCTTTGACCGTCGCAACCCCAAATCCTGAGGTGTCTCCTAGTGTCGCAGAATATTTGAAAAAAGGAAAAAAAAAAAACTATTTTTCTTATGAAATAATAGAGAATCTTTTCCCAGTGGTAATGACACCAAAAGTACAAAATTTCATGGAAAACTTATGTAATTACGCTCTCGCAAAGTTGTTAACCTCGGCAATATTTACAAATCGGTGATTTTGCCCACTTTGAGCCCTATTTTCGGCTAATTCCATTGTTCCAGTCGACCAAACTCATAACTATTTCTTTAGAAATCCATTTGTTCTGTCGATTGAGTACAAGAAACTGCCCATTTACCGATTTCAACTACCCAATAAAGTGGTCAGAAATTGGCAATTTGCCCAATTTCACACAAATTAAATAAAAATATATACCAATTTTGAAATGGGGTCCAGAATGAACAATGCAGACATTCCTGGCTCTAAAATCACATTTTCTTTGTTCATCAGACATGTCTCCTGGCCCCTCTGATATTACTCTTGCTTTCTGTTTTGAATTTTTATTCAGACAAAAAAAAAAATAGAAGATTTACTGTTACGCAGACTTCTGCAATATTGTAATAATTGTATAAATAATGTCAAACCATTCATGACTGCATATTAGAATGGCCAGTTGGACATTTATTGGACAGTGACATCATTTGTTTACTCTTGAACATCGGCAAAAATCAAACATTTCCCCTACTTTGAGCTCCATTTCAAGTTTTTTTTTTTTTTTCATAGTAAAACCAATCAAAATCATCTCTATTTCTATAATATGTTTTCCATTCTTTCAAATGTGACTACAAAAATGAGAATATACCCATAAAAACTATACGAAACTACACCTCAAAGTTGGCATTTTAATCCAAAAACATTTTTTTTTTTCTCATGCACTGCGTGCTGCAGGATTTTTTATATACAGTGCACATTGACCACACAGACCCATTCTCTCACATGTGAGCCTACCAGCTTTCACCTGCTTGATTTGAAGCCGCTAGAATTTTTGAGTACAGTGGACCCTTGACATTCGATACTAATCCGTTCCTGAGAGCTATCGAATGTTGAAAATATCGAAAGTCAAATTAATTTTCCCCATAAGAAATAATGGAAATCAAATTAATCCGTGCAAGACACCCAGAAGTATGAAAAAAAAAATTTACCACATGAAATATTAAGTTTAGTGCAATAGAATAATTACAATAACAATAGATTAATAACAATAGAATAATTGACACTTACCTTTAATGAAGATCTGGTGGTGATTGATGGGATGGGAGTGTGTGGATGGTGTTAGTGTTTAGAAGGGGAATCCCCTTCCATTAGGACTTGAGGCAGCAAGTCCTTTTCCGGGGTTACTTCCCTTCTTTTAATGCCACTAGGACCAGCTTGAGAGTCGCTGGACTTCTGTCGCACAACATATCTGTCCATAGAGGCCTGTACCTCTCATTCCTTTATGACTTTCCTAAAGTGGTTCGTAACATTGTCAGTGTACAGGTTGCCAACACGGCTTGCAGTAGCTGTGTCAGGGTGACTTTCATCAAAAAATGTTTGCACTTTAAGCCACATTGCACACATTTCCTTAATCTTTGAAGTAGTCAACTTCTTCAATTTCTCTATCCCCTCCTCTGAAGCAGTTTCCTCAGCTCTGGCCTCTTGCTGTTGAAGATGATCTAGCAGTTCATCAGTGGTTAGTTTGTCATTGTCCTCCTCCACCAACTCTTCCACATCCTCCCCACTAACCTCCAACCCCAAGGACTTCCCCAATGCGACAATGGATTCCTCAACTGGCATAGGATTCTCAGGGTTAGCCTCAAACCCTTCAAAGTCCCTTTTGTCTATGGCCATTCTGGCCACAGTTTTTTCCAAGCAGCGTTCAAGGTCCTCTTAGTCACTTCCTCCCAAGCCTTACCTATAAGGTTTATACAATTGAGGATCCTTCCAAAACTCTTTTAGAGTCAGTCGAGTTTCTGTGGTCACTACAAAGCACTATTGAAACATAGATTTTGTGTACAGTTTCTTGAAGTTGGAAATGACCTGCTGGTCCATGGGCTGTAGGAAAGGAGTGGTATTAGGAGGCAAAAACTTGACCTTAATGGAGCTCATGTCCCCAGAAAGTCGCTCTGCCAAGTCTGTAGGATGACCAGGGGCATTGTCTAATACCAGGAGGCACTTAAGGTCTAATTTCTTTTCAATTAGGTAATTTTTCACATTTTGGGCAAATGCATGGTGTAACCAGTCATAGAAAAAGTCCCTAGTGACCCCATGCCTTACTGTTTGCCCTTCACAGCACACACAAATTAGCCTTGAGGATATTCTTTTGCCTGAATGCTCTGGGAGTTTGAGTGATACACCAATAAAGGCTTCACTTTGCAATCACCACTAGCATTGGCACACATGAGAAGAGTAAGCCTGTCTTTCATAGGCTTATGTCCTGGGAGTGCCTTTTCCTCCTGAGTAATGCAAGTCCTGCTTGGCAATTTCTTCCAAAACAGGCCTGTTTCGTCACAGTTAAACACTTGTTCAGGTTTCAATCCTTCAGCCTCTATGTACTCCTCGAATTCATGCACACATTTTTCAGCACTTTGTGGTCCGAACTGGCAGCCTCACCATACCTTCCCACACTGTGTATGCCACTATGATTCTTAAATCTTTCAAACCAACCTTTGCTGGCCTTCAATTCACTCGCATCACCACTAGTTGCAGGCAATTTCTTTACCAAATCATCATGCAACTGCCTAGCCTTTTCACTAATGATCGCTTGAGAGATGCTATCTCCTTCTATCTGTTTTTCATTTATCCACACCAATAACGGTCTCTCAACATCATCTAACACTAGTGATCTCTGTTTCGAAAACAAAGTTGCACCTTTTGCAACAACAGCTTCCTTGATTGCCGTTTTCCTGCTCACATGCACTCCACTTTCATTCCTTGCAATTAACTCTTTCTTCATTTCAATAGTCATTAGTGCCTTTTTTCTGGAAGGCTTGGCACTAGAAGCTTTCTTGGGGCCCATGGTTACTTTGCAGAAACGAGCACCAAAAACAGTGATAATATGGAATGTACCGAATGTATCCTTAGATGCGTGCACACTGGCTGGCTTGTAAACACTGGCACACACGGAGCAGTTCAGGCCACACGTGGACACATCTCGTACGAATCATATCGGATGTCGGGTTTACCACTGAATGTTGAGGCGAAATTTTTGCGTTAAAATGCATCGAATGTCGGATTTGTCGAGTGTCGATGCCATCGAATGTCGGGGGTCCACTGTATATATACATCAAACACATTGGCTCGTAAGATGTATATATACGGCCGAAACAGTCAAGGGGTTAAAGAAAAGGCATGTTCACTTTTCTAGAAATAGTAAAACACTCCAGTTGTACCTTAACTAAAAATATATAGTGTGTGGAACATTTAAAGTAAAACCATTTTGGCAAGTGATTTCTTTGGGCTAAAAACTACACATGGAGAGCATATTAAACATCAATGAGATATGCATTCTACCACTAATGTTAACATTTAAAACAGGTAGTTGAAAATTTTATAGGTGCTTGGTAGCACTTTAACTGCTTTTGACAGTTTACTGTGTAGTCACTTCTAGTAGGATGAGGGTTGGACTTCTTACTTCTGTTTTACATACGTCTTAAATGATGTTTTACCTCCACATGTTCTATACGGGAATGCTCTTAAATGCAGTTTATTGCATATGCAACATGACCCACGAAATCATAATGGCACGATTGCAAACAAACCATACCACAGGTGGGGTTAGAACCCATGATCAGTCACAAAACTCCAGACTGTCGCATTCTGACCCCACCTGTGGTATGGTTTACATATGCAAATACCTAAATACCACCTGTATCCCATCGAGGCAGGGTGACCTAATGAAAGTTTTTCTTTTAAATTTTAATTATACGGGAGTGTTCTGGGGTTCGTGAGGAGTAAGATATACACACGTTGGATAACTTTGGAGGCTTGTAATTAAGAGTTTGAGGAGAAAACCAGGACTGCTTGTCGAGTCTAAGCCTAACGTTGAACTGAGGAGGCGGCCTACTGCCCCCATGTGATGGGTTTCGTGACATCATAGCTAGCTGGGTACAGGAGTTAATTCTTGGGTAGCTTTTGGTAGAGGTCATTTTGATAAGGACCTGCCTTGTATGGGCCAATAGGCCTTCTGCAGTGTTCCTCCATTCTTATGTTCTTATGTAGCTGGGAATACAGTACTACAGTATACTACACAAGTACACAGTAACACTACTGACAGAACCCCTCAAGGGAAGTTCCTTGATGGTGAGGGGCTTTTGATCTAGGGAATTGTATTTGTGCTCCAATTCCCTGAATTAAGCCTGAATACCTTCCATCTCCCTCTCACAGGCTGTATAATCCTATGGGTTTAGCACTTCCCCATGATTAAAATAGTAATATACAGGAGAAGGGGTTGCTAGCCTCTTGCTCCTGGCATTTGTCACCTTTTATGATGTGCATGGCTTATGGAGGAATTTTTTCCACTTCCCAGTGGAGATGAGAGGAAATAAACTACTATTACTATTATTACTGTTATTACTATTACTACTATTACTACTACTATTACTACTACTATTACTACTTACTACTACTATTACTACTTACTACTACTATTACTACTTACTACTACTATTACTACTTACTACTACTATTACTACTTACTACTACTATTACTACTTACTACTACTATTACTACTTACTACTACTATTACTACTACTATTACTACTTACTATTACTACTTACTACTACTATTACTACTTACTACTATTATTACTTACTACTACTGTTACTATTACTATTACTACTACTATTACTAATTACTACTACTATTACTACTTACTACTACTATTACTACTTACTATTACTACTTACTACTACTATTACTACTTACTACTATTACTTACTACTACTGTTACTACTACTACTATTACTACTACTATTATTACTATTACTATTATTACTATTCTATTACTATTACTACTATTACTACTACTGCTATTACTATTATTATTATTAATACTATTACTATTACTACTACTACTACTATTACTACTATTACTACTATTATTACTACTACTATTACTACTACTATTATTACTACTACTATTACTACTACTATTACTACTATTACTACTACTATTACTATTACTACTACTACTATTACTACTACTACTATTACTACTACTACTATTACTACTATTACTACTACTACTAGTACTACTACTACTACCACCACTAAAATAGAAGAATCCCCCATGTGGATATGTAAATATATATGCATTTACATGCATGTGTAGTGTAAACTAAGTGTAAGTAGAAGTAGTAAGATATACCTGTTATCCCACATGTTATGAGATAGAATGTTATGTAAATTGATAAACTGGTGCTACAAAATATAATGCTGCCTTGGCGACCGAGATTAGTTTTGCTATTGCTTATACACCTGTTTCTTCTTGCCAAAGAAGGAAATGTTGCATTCTTCCTGTAGCAAGAATATTATTCCACTTTTCAACTGCTAATTATAAATTCATAAGCTTGCAGCTTTTATCCAAAGTTGCCTAATGTCCTCAAAATATCACTGTTGAAATTCTTAAGATGTCATTAATAGATATTAGCCATAAACTTTTTTCACTGAACCTTAACCTTTTCAGGGTTTCGACCATACTAGTACGGCTTACACCCCAGGGTTTTTGACGTACTAGTACGCCTAAATTCTAACGCCCTCAAATCTAGTGAGAGAGCTGGTAGGCCTACATACGAAAGAATGGGTCTGTGGTCAGTGTGCGCAGTATAAAAGAAATCCTGCAGTACACATTGTGTAATGAGAAAAACTTTGACCGTGTTTTTGGATTAAAACAGTGACTTTGCACTGTATTTTCGTATGGTATTTATTGTTGTATTCTAGTTTTCCTGGTCTTATTTTATAGAATGGAAGACATATTACAGAAATTGAGATGATTTTGACTGGTTTTGCAATGAAAAGTACCTTGAAATTGAGCTCAAAGTAGCAGAAATGTTCGATTTTTACTAAAGTTCAAAAGTAAACAAATCATGCCAAGTGTCCAATACACATCAACTGACGAGTCTAATATTCTTTCACAAGTGCGATGATATTATTTATTCCATTTCTACACTAATGCAGTAGTCTGCATAACAACAAATCTTCTATTTTTTTGTAAAAATAAAAATTCAAAGTGGAAAGCCAAAGAAATATAAGAGGGGCCTGGGGATGTGACTAACGAACAGAGAACTTATTTTAGTGCCAGGAATGTCATTCTAGTTTATTCTGGACCCTATTTGGAAATTGACATCTTTTGAAATTTGTGTGAAATTGGCAAAATTGCTAAATTCTGACCACTTTATTGGATAGTTGAAATCGGTAAATGGGTGGTTTCTTGTACTCATTCGATAGAAAAAATGGAGTTCTAGCAAAATAGTTATGGTTTTTGTCAACTAGTAAACTGGAATTGGCCTAAAATAGGGCTCAAAGTGGGCAAAATCGCCGATGCATAAACATCGTCGAGACCGCTAACTTCGTGAGAGCATAATTTCATTAGTTTTCCATTAAATTTCATACTTTTGGTGTCATTATGATCGGGAAAAGATTCTCTAACTTTTCATAAGAATTTTTTTTTTTTTTTTTTTTTTTTAACATTTGGGTGGACCTGAGAACAAGTCTCTGAGAGGGCCCGTGGACCCTGAAAGGGTTAAGCTGCTAACTGGAGGTGTTAATTAAATACTTGAATAAATTAATGTCTGGCCATTTGTTACAGCTGTTGTCACTTGGAATCCAGACTTGAACATTCTTGTATACTAATTTCTTCTAGAGCAGTATTCTTTGTTGTACATATTTGTTTACAAAATATTGTTCTTTTACATATTGCGTATCTGCCGTGGAAGTACATCATTTCTCTGAATCATGTACAGTACTGATAATACAAAACTAAAGAATTTGTCAGATCTGGTATTTCATATAAATAGAAAAATTGTTTATAATAGGTAATTATAAATTGACGATTGCGTTTTTGTCTTACGGCTTTTGGAAATGTGCTGTGTTGTACAGTATATCACTTATGGTGATGCATCAGTGATAACTAATATTAAAGTTCTTGCCACCTTGGTAGGAGCATTCCATTATATAGTACTTTGCAGCATTTCCTGCACTGAAATCAGTCTTAATAATCTTGAAATGTAGCAACTGCTGTTTCCTAAGCCCGAAGTAAAGTTTCCAAGGTAGTTTATTTTTTGTGGACACCTAATTGTCTAATTTAATACATTGCTTTGAAAGGTGTTAAATGAATTACATCTTTGTTGTAGATACGATGATTACCGCCGCCGAAGCGAGTCTCCAGCATTCAAGAGACGTTCACGCTCCCGGTCATAAAGGTAAACTACTGTGTTGGCCTGTTTGATAGGCATTTCATGAAAATTACTCCAGGTGTTCTTAGATGGCAGTCCAAATTTCTATAGCTGTGCTTAAATGATTTTGGGGTGAAAAATTTAAACCCTTAATTGAAATGTTGACTGGGACAAAATATCTAAGGAGATGGACTAATCTTTTATGAAAAATGCCAGATAAATTAAGTTGATGAAATATGCAAAGCTTTGGTTTTAGATAAATTAACCCTTTGACTGTTTTGGGCGTATATATACGTCTTACAAGCCACTGTATTTGACGTATATATACTCATACGGGATTACCAAAACTGTTGTCCAGAGGGCTGAGGAAGGGCTGTTGAGGTGGTTCGGACATGTAGAGAGAATGGAGCGAAAGAGTGACTTCAAGAGTGTATCAGTCTGTAGTGGAAGAAAGGCGGGGTAGGGGTCGGCCTAGGAAAGGTTGGACGGAGGGGGTAAAGGAGATTTTGTGTACAAAAGGGCTTGGACTTCCAGCAGGCCTGCATGAGCGTGTTTGATAGGAGTGAATGGAGACAAATGGTTTTTAATACTTGACGTGCTGTTGGAGTGTGAGCAAAGTAACATTTATGAAGGGGTTCAGGGAAACCGGCAGGCCGGACTTGAGTCCTGGAGATGGGAAGTACAGTGCCTGCACTCTGAAGGAGGGGTGTTAATGTTGCAGTTTAAAAACTGTAGTGTAAAGCACCCTTCTGGCAAGACAGTGATGGAGTGAATGATGGTGAAAGTTTTTCTTTTTCTGGCCACCCTGCCTTGGTGGGAATCGGCCAGTGTGGTGATAATAAAAAAATAATAATAAAAATTCTAGCGGCTTCAAATCAAGCAGGAGAAAGCTGATAGGCCCACATGTGAGAGAATGGGTCTGTGTGGTCAGTGTGCACCATATAAAAAAAATCCTGCAGTGCATAATGAGAAAAAAACTCCAACTGCTTTTTTTTTTTTTTTTTGTTAATTAAAATGTTGAATTTGTGGTCTATTTTCGTATAGTGTTTATGGTTGTATTCTTGTTTTCTTGGTCTCATTTGATAGAATGGAAAACATATTATAGAAATAGAGGTGATTTCAATTGGTTTTACTATGAAAAGAACCTTGAAGTAGTGCTCCAAGTAAGGGAAATGTTTGATTTTTGCCGATGTTCAAAAGTAAACAAATGATGTCATTTTCCAATAAATGTCCAAGTAGCCATTCTAATGTGCAGCCATGACTGGGTTGACATATATACAATTATTACAATATTGCAGTAGTCCGCATAACAGTAAATCTTTATTTTTTGTTTGAATAAAAATTCAAAATAGAAAGCAAGAGTAATATCAGAGGGGCCTGGAGATGTGACTGATAAACAAAGAAAATGTTATTTTAGAGTCTGGAATGTCTGCATTGTTCATTCTAGACCCTATTTTGAAATTGTCATATTTTTTAATTTGTGTGAAATTGGCCAAATTGTAAATTTCTGACCACATTATTGAGTAGAATGAAGTTCTAAAGAAATAGCTATGAGTTTGGTCGACTGGAACAATGGAATTAGCCGAAAATAGGGCTCGAAGTGGGCAAAATCGCTGATTCGTAAATATCGCCGAGGTCGCTAACTTCACTAAAGTGTAATTCCATCAGTTTCCCATCAAATTTCGTTCTTTTGGTGTCATTACAATCGGAAAAAGATTATCTATCATTTCATAAGTTTTTTTTTTTTTTCCGGCACCAGGAGACACCTCAGGATTTGGGGTTGCGACAGTCAAGGGGTTAAACGACTAGTAACTACAGGCTAAAGACAGTCACATGAACAGGCAGAAGTGTGTAAACTAAAAAAAAAAAAAAATTAATTCTGAGATCAAATACCTTGGATGTAACAATGGCTATAAGGGAATTTGCAAATGTACTTTTTTAACCCTTTCACTGTTGCAACCCTTGATTTTAAGCCAATTTCAGTGTTCAGTTCAATCCAGTTCCTTGGTATTTTGCCAATATGCCATGCATTCCATCGATTGAATGTAAAAAACTGCCTATTCAACTATGAGAACTGCCCTATAATTGTGTAGAAGTGTAATTTTGCCAGTTTCGCATAAAATTCAATTTTAAAAAATCTAAACTAGGCTATCCAGTATGCTGGTGATGACTTTCCAACTTACTAGTATGCACAATACTTTTGACCTCAGCTTAACTGTGTGGGTCTCCTACAACCTTCTCATGCCTTTAAAACGAATTCTAAAACCAGGCAGGTCCACACACTGCATCATGGGGTAATAGTGCCTAAATAACACTGAAACCAGGACATGTTCTACCACCAGCTTTCCTTCCACCAAATGGTGCAGGACTGCCAGGAAGGTGTTTTATTCATTACCATTTTATTAGTTTCATGATACTAACTGGAATTCAGCTGATAAGCACACTATAGTATGTACAGTTAGCATAGAATAACCCAATATTTCCATGAGTATTACACCTTGATATAGTTGTAATGTCATAAGATTTCTTGTTAAATATGTTTTATAGTGGTCTGGAAGGCACACAGTTTAAGAAATTACATTGTTTATACTGTATAACCCAGGATATTCCCTCTTGCATCAGTATACAACTCAAAAAATTAACCTGGGATAATGCTGTATAGTCAGTGTGACTTGTTTCTAAGCTTTGAGGAGTATCCCTTGCACGTACTAGTGTTCGATCAAAGCAGTAAAAATAAAAGTGATCATTTTTTGCACCAACTTCAGCATGCCATAAAATCATAAGATTTATCAGATTCCACTCATTTAGTCTTATTAAATTCATAAAAATACACTTTTGTGCCCCCCCCCCCCAATTACCCCACATGCAGTAATTTTAATTTTTGGGTATGATATGGTTAAGGGGTTAATCACATCCCCAGGTAACTTGTATGTATAATACTTGCCTTCATATAGATTTCTTTATCAAAAAAAAAAAATTTTTTTACCCCAATTTTTTAGATAAAATATAACCGAAGAGTGATTGGTCATGGTTTAGTCCATCCCAATAATTGAGGCAAACCTGGTAAAAGGTTGTGATACACAGGGAATGGCTAGCATGGCTCCTACCATTCAAGATAATCATATATTTCCACTACTACGAGCCTGTCCGTATTTCAAGCTGCCTTTAGTCAAACTGACCGAACTCCTCTATATTTCACCAGTATGTCTTCCATTCTGTCAATTGATACCAATAAACCATAAAAAAGACCTCAAAAGTCACTTTTATACCAAACTCAAGGTCAGTTTTGCTTTTCCCATGTACTGTGCAGAGCAGGATTTTTTTATGCTGTGCACACTCGACACAGACCCATTCTCATGTCTAGGGTGAAATTTACCACTCTTACATTTGGGGACACTGCTTAAAACTTAAGTATACGTGAGCGACATGGGAAACAGTAAAAGTGGCATACCATGTACGTTATATGGGAGGAAGAACAAACATGGAGTCTAAGTAGAGGGTTAGAGGAGTATTAATTTCAACCCATCTTAAATATACAAATGTGGCAGGTTTGGCAAATGTGTAGAACAGAAAAGGTGGACAATATTAAACTGTAACATAATAACAGTAAGAAATTGTAATGTTTTTGAAAGGTATTTCATGCATTTGGCTAAGAAAGAAAAAATTGCTATATGGTCTTTTGGAATGCAAGATTGTAAATGTGTATCTGAGGTTAGCAGATAGATTCACAGAAACGAACACTAAACAGATAGGAATGGAAGAAATTGAAGAAAGATTAATAATCCATGAAATAGATTAGTAAAGGATGTGGTGTGGGGATTTTTTGGTTGTCATATGAATTGCAATTTCCATGCACTTTAAGAAAGATGGCTAGAAGATTTAGTAATGGTGAATGTTTGCTTTAGGTTTCCCTGCTTGTAGGGATATAGTTAATGTTTGCTTTAGGTTACCCTGCTTGTAGGGATATGGTTAATGTTTAAAAGGAAAAAAATGCTATACTGTGTCTGCTTTAACATAGTACTAGTTTTTTGTGAAAAGGGTGTGTCGAGTGGTACTACAAGAAATTGCGGTGGTAGTCACTTACCCAAAATTCAAGAGATGAGTTTCTTGGTGACATAGCAGTAATTGCTGACTTTATATGATTGGCGGGCTATCAGTATTGGTAAAGAAAATTGTGAAATTTTAAAAATGGCTAAACACTAGGTTCGAGTTCAGCTGACTAAAAACGGCAGAGTCAGTTATGGGCACGTGGAGCTCATCCCATGGTATAATGGCCAGCTGTTTCAGTGAAGTGAAATGTTTATTTTATTTTTTATGGGTTTGAATTTTTTAATGCATTGAAGAAATAAATGCGTAAAGACAATAGTGCAAGCACTTGTTTTGTATTTACCAAAAATAGTTGGTTTAGAAAACATGTAAGCAAACACTAGGACATATTTATTAGAAAACGTTTCGGTCCTGGGACCTTGATCACTTGATCAGAAGTTATCAAGGTCCCAGGACTGAAACGTTTTTTAATGAATATGTTCCAATGTTTGCTTGCGTGTTTTTCTAAGCCAACTTGTTGGTATTTATTACCAAGGTTTATACCACCAAAAATAATGTTCGTTGTGAGGGACTAGGTGTCTCGGCTATGTACAGTATATATAACATTTAATGTGCATTTATAGGATTTGCATCATACTGTAAAATACCTAACATGCAATTTAGATGTTATTAGACATGCTTCAGTCTATCCACGATTATTACTTTAAATTTTCTCTTTGCCAGGCTTAAAGATGGAGAAGCAGTTGCTGGTCTTCTATCATCTGAGCTAGCCACAATGTAAATAATATGGAGAAATGTACCCAGTATTGCTATACATGTGGGGGCACTTGCAGGATTTGAACATAATGAGTTACTGATATAGAACCTTGTTAGTCAAGGACAGGTGTCTGTGATTGGTTGACATACAGGGGAGGTTGTGGTTGGCTGTTGCCATGTAACACCATCAGCCTTGGGCTGTTTGAAACGTGTGTGTACAAAATTAAGTGTAAGCTCTTGTTGAATTTTTTTTATTTTTTTACTTTGCATTTTTTCATGCACAGTGTTTTGACAAATAGTGAAAAGGTGAGATGTTTTTCTTGGGAAATTACTTTCTTGCTAATGAAAATGTGGATCTTTTTGATTTGGCTAACATGCAGGGGGTTTACTGTACATATATGAAATTATTTGATGCACTTTAGTATTGTTGAATTGTAACAAGTAGCATTGGTTTTAGGCATTGGCAGACTATTTCCGTATAATGAACCGTAGTACCTGTTGAGTGGCAATGTATAGGATAACTTAAAAGCAGGAATAATGCCATACGTTTACCAACAGGGTGCACAAATGCATTTTAATCTCCATCTTCACATTGGTGTTTTTCACTCAAAACCCTCGTTTGAACTTAGTGGTATGGTATATGAACTCCTTCGCATTCCTGCATGCAGTATTAAAGTAGAATAAATTGAGTGTATAAAGGGTACGGAGCAAATACTATTATATTCCTACCTGTTTACCCCTTTTTTTCTCTCCCCCTCTTTTTGCAGGAGCCAGCATTCGAACCAGGATGTTTCGTCATGACTTTAAATTTGTATTTGTACTTGGGTCTGTAAGAGGTGTGTGTCAGATCTGTGTCCTAATGCTTAAGTGGTTTACATAAAAATTTGTTATTGAATTTAAATTTAAGATTTAAGTTTTTTTTATACTTTTTTTGCCCTAAACATGTTTGGATAAACTACAAAAAAAAATTTTTGTCAGAGGTTATGTTTAGTCCTGTGATTTTTTTTTCTTTTTTTAATATCTTATAAAAGGAATCTCAATAATGCAAAGTTTCCATGATGAAAACTTGTTTGTTGAGTTTTTGTTTTTGTTTCTACAAGCTTGTATGATTGCCGGTGTGATAGCTGTATCTTTCTCGACATTTAAAATTTAGTCATGATTAATGTGAAAAAAATTATAGGTAAGGGGGCATTTCAAACTAGAATAAGGAATTCTGAACAATAAAGTTTAACAAATATACCTGCATCTTATTTCTTTCACAAGGGTTTCACACATTAAGCAGGAGGTCTTGAATAATAGTGCCATTATATAATTGAATTTAATCTTTGAAATATTTCTTTAATTTGTGCATTTCCAGTTGTATTCCTTTGCTATTGCAGTACACATTGCTCTTTTTCTGTTCATTTTTTCAAAGGAAAGAATTCTAACATCTACTAGTATATACACACAAGGATTTTATTCAATTCTTGCTGTTGAGCTTATTTAATTCTTTTTACCATGTTCTCTTGAAATGCTTTATAAACTATACATTGGATTCTTTAGTACTAGCTGCATTTCTAAACAGTCTTGCTGGATCCACTGATGCTATGTCTCATTAACACTCCCATTTTAAGAGGAAAGTAAAAAATAGGTTAGATAAATACATGAGTGAGTGTGAGTTGGACCTGACTAGCTTGTGCTACTAGATCTGTCATGCTTCTTCAATGGATGTGACCTGACTATGTGGGTCATTGGTCTAAGCTGGGAGGGGGGGGGGGATGACATGGACCTGCCTTGCATGGGCCAGTAGGCCTGCTGCAGTGCACCTTCTTATGTTCTTATGTATTCGGCTGGCTGGCTGACTTACTGTGGCTCACTGTCTACATCTCTGTCTCGCATACACACAAGTACAGTTATTATACATAGTGTAAATTACCTAGGATAACCCAAAAATTCCAGGCAAAGATAGATAATGGACAAACATGTTCGTGTGCATCAGTGAAAACAAATAAAGCCAGGGTACCCCAAGTGCCCATTTATCAAATGTCACTGCGTCGGATTCGCAGCAGTGTTTCCGGACAGCGTCGTGCGGGGGCATTTACTATCTTCAGCTAGCATTTTTACTGCTGAACTGTATGCCATTCTTGCAGCACTTATTCGTATCGCATCTATGCCTGTGTCATCATTTGTAGTAGTCTCAGACTCCCTTAGTGCTCTACAGGCTATACGAAAATTTGATACTTCTCATCCCCTAGTTCTCCGTATCCGACTTTGGCTACGCCGTACCTCTACCAAACATAAAGATATTGTTTTTTGTTGGGTCCCTGGTCATGTCGATGTACAGGGCAATGAACAGGCAGACACTGCTGCACGGTCAGCAGTACATGACCTACCAATTTCCTATCGAGGTGTTCCATTTCTGGACTATTTTGCTGCAATAGCTACCCACCTTCGCACCAGTTGGCAGCAACGTTGGTCAACTCTGCTCGGTAACAAACTTCATTCTATTAAACCGAGCATAGGTTACTGGCCGTCTTCTTGTCATCAGTGCCGAGGTTGGGAGACCACTCTCTCCCACCTTCGCATTGGCCCCACTCGTCTTACTCATGTGTATCTCATGGAGAGGCACCCTGTTCCTCTCTGTGAGCAGTGTCAAGTTCCAGTATCGATTAGCCACATTCTGTTAGACTGCCTCTCTATCAACGAGCACACAGAATTTACCTCCAACGTCGTCTTCGTTCTACTACTCTCTCTTTACCTTCCCTTCTTGCTGATGGACCCTCATTTAATCCTGACTCTCTCATTGACTTCTTGACAACGACTGATTTACTCCACAAACTCTCAAACTCTGATGATACTTTTCGCACTCCTCTCAACCCTTTCTACTTCAGTCTCTTGCTGCCCTTTACCCTTTCACCATCCACTACCCCGCTGTCATCCGTAACCTATTACTCATCCATCTCCCTTTTGCCACCTGATGCCCTCGCTTCCTTCCTGCCCTGCAGCACTGTATAGTCCTTGTGGCTTAGCGCTTCTTTTTGATTATAATAATAATAATGTTAACAGTTGTCATAACACCATTCTTCAAGGAGTTTGATATACGTATACTCCAGGCAGACAGAAAGACAGATAAGCAGAGACAGGCAGGCAGATAGATACAGACAGACATGTTTGTGTGTAACAGTGATAACAAATACAACGAGGGTTAGCTAAATACATGAGTGAGTGTGGGTGGGTGCGAGTTGGACCTGACTAGCTTGTGCAGCTAGGTCTGATGTCGTGCTTCTTCAATGGATGTGACCTGACTAGGTGGGTCGTTGGTCTAAGCTGGGGGGGGGGACATGGACCTGCTTTGCATGGGCCAGTAGGCCTGCTGCAGTGTTCCCTCCTCATGTTCTTATGTATTCGGCAGGCTGGCCGGTTGGCTTTGGCTCTGTCTATATGTCTCTCTCTCACATGCACACATCAGTCCAGTTATTATACATAGTGTAAATTACCTAGGATAACCCAAAAATTCTAGGCAAAGATAGGTAGACGGACAAACATGTTTGTGTGCATCAGTGAAAACATAAAACCAGGGTTCCCCCAAATGCCCATTTATCAAATTCACTGGGCTGTCAACAGTTGTCATAACACCATTCGAAAAGGAAATTTGATATGGTATACTCCAGGCAGACGATAAGCAGAGAAAGACAAGACCCGTTTTGTGTGTAACAGTGACAACCCAAATACAGCTAGGGTTAGCTGAAGCAGTGGTATTTATCAAATATTACATTTTTGTGCAACATGGAGAAAAATGTGCTCTTCATTAAAAAAAAAAATATATATTTTTCGAAATATTCGGAGCGCCACGCGAGTAAACTTAGATCTACGTTTGGACAGTTTAACCCCTTTGACTGTTTTCGACGTATAAATACGTCTTACGAGCCAATGTTTCTGACGTATATATACTCAATAATTCTAGCGGCTTCAAATCGAGTGGGAGAAAGCTGGTAGGCCCACATGTGATAGAATGGGTCTGTGTGCACCACATAAAAAAAATCCTGCAGCACACATTGCGTAATGAGAAAAAAAAAACTGATCGTTTTTTGGAATAAAACGCCCGACTTTGAGGTGTATTTTCGTATAGTATTTATCGTTGTATTCGCGTTTCATGTCTTAGGTGATAAAATGGAAAACATATTACAGAAATAGAGATGATTTTCATTACTTTTACGATGAAAACGACCTTGAAAAACTGAGCTCAAATAGCGGAAATGTTCGATTTTTACCAAATGTTCAAGAGTAAATAAGTCACACCACACGTCCAATACACGTCAACTGGGGAGTCTAATATTCTTTCACTAGTGCACTGATATTATTTATAACCATATTTACAGTAATGCAGTCGTCTGCATAAACAGTAAATTTTGTATTTTTTTGTATGAATAAAAAATCAAAATAGAAAGCAATAATAATATAAGAGGGGCCTAGAGATTGACTAATGAACAGAGCATATGTTATTTTAGTGCCAGAATGTCTACCTTTTTTATTCTGGACCCTATTTTGAAATTGGCAAACTTTTTTATTTTGCGTGAAATTGGCCAAATTGCCAATTTCTGACCACCATATTGGGTAGTCAAATTATAAATGGGAGGTTTCTTGTACTCACTGATAGATAAAATGGAGTTCTAAAGAAATAGCTATGAGTTTGGTCAACTGGAACAATGGAATTGGCTGAAAATTGGGCTCAAAGTCGGTGAAATCGCCGATACGCATATGTCCCCCGAGACCGCTAACTTCGCGGGAGCATAATTCCACGAGTTTTCGACCAAATTTCGAACTTTTGGTGTCCATTACCATCGGGAAAAGATTCTCTATCATTTCATAAGAAAAAATAATTTTTTTTTTTTTTTCAAAAATTGAGCGACATAGAATGACAGTTTCAGAGAGGGGCCTGAAACAGTCAAAGGGTTAAGGGTTAACAGTCAAAATGGAAGTAGAGTTCTGACCATCCTTTTGTTGTTGGTAAAGGAAAACTATTTCATGTAACTACACATTGGTTAGGGGAAGCCGGGGCATGTAGATATTGTTGCCTTAACCCTTTCAGGGCCGTAACCCCTGATCTGAAACTTGCTCTCTGAGTCAGATAATTTAAAAAAAAAATGAAATAATTTTTCCCGAAGGTAATGAAACCAAAAATGTGAAATTGATGGAAAACATGGAAAACTTGCGGAATTATGCTCTCGCAAAGTTGGCAGTCAGTGATTCTGCCGTATTTTCACCCACTTTCCCTTGCTGCAGTCAACCAGACTCGTAGCTATTTCATTATATTCTAAAGATGGAGTACAAGAAACTGCCCATTTACCTATTTTAACTACCCAATGAGTGATCAGAATTTGGTAAATTTCTTGCACAATTTAAAAACTGCCAATTAACAATAGGGGTTTAGAATAAACAATGGAAACATTCCTGGCATTAAAAAAAAAAAAATTACCTCTGTTCATTGGTTATGTTCCCAGGCTTCTATATTATGTTGCTTTCCATTTTGAAGAATTGCTGTTATGCAGACAATGCATTATTGTAATAATGGTATACATGTCAGTGCATTTGTTGACACGTAGTAGACTGACCAGTTGGATGTGTATTGGGACGAGTGACGTGATTTGTGTACTCTGGAATATCAAAAAGAATCTATTTCCACTACTGTGAACTCTATTGGAAGCTACTTTCAGTCCTGAAACCAATCAAAATCATCTCTATTTCTGTAATATATCTTCCCTGCCTCTGTGGGAGACTGCCGACTTGTTAAAAAAAAAATCTTCCATTCTATCAAAATACATCGCAAAGTCATTGTTTTAAACAAAAAACGCGGTTGCAGATTTTTTTATGGTAGTACTGTTTATTCCTCATTGTTAACCCTTTCACTGTCCAGAACCCTGATCCGAAACTTGTCTACTGCGTCCAAGAATTTAAAAAAAAAAAAAAATTCTTACGAAATGGTAGAGAATCTTTATCTGCAAAGCTAAATTATGCTTTTGCAAATGTCACTGTGTCCAGTATTTATGCATTGGTAATTTTAGCCACTTTTAGTTCTATTTTAGGCCAGTTACATTGTTCCAGTAAATCAGATTCTTAGCTATTTTGCTAGTATGCCTTTCATTTTATTGATTGAGCACAAGAAACCACCCAATCAACTATTTTAACTACTCAATAAAGTGATCAGAAATTGGTAATTTGGCTAAATTTCACCGATTTCAAAATCCAGAATAAATAGTG